AAATTCATGATTTTGTTCTTTTTTATGGCTGCGTAGTATTCCATCGTGTATATGTACCACATTTTTTAAATCCAGTCCTCTTTTGATGAATGTATCTTAAACAGCTTTGTTGGGATATAGTTTTCATATCATATAGTTAAATTGCATATCTAAAGTTAACAATTTGGTGGTTTTTAGTATAGTTACAGATCGTGCATATATAGTGATCCTCCATCAACGATGCAACCATCATCACCATTTAACTTTAGAACATTTTCATCACTCCAAAAAGAAATTCTATACCCATTAACCGGGCATGGTGGCATGTACGTGTAGTTCCAACTACTTGGAAGGCTGAGGCAGAAGGGTGTCCTGAGCCCAGCAGGTCGAGGCTGCGGTGACTGTGAGTGTGCCACAGCACTCCAGCTTGGGCGACAGAGTGAGACTCCGACTCAAAAAAAAGAAAGAAAGAAAGAAAGAAAGAAATACTATACCTACTGGCGATCACTTTCCATTCCTTCATTACCTCAATCTTAAGCAATCACTAATCTACTTTTTGCATAGATTTGTCTCTCCTGGATATGTAGATACAATCATACGACATATATTCTTTCATGACTGCTTTCTTTCATTTAGCATAATGTCTTCAGAGTCCATCCATGTTGTAACATGTACCAGTACTTCATTCCGTTTTTTAAATTTTGTTCTTAAATTTTTATTTATTTATTTTTGAGTCAGAGATACTCTGTCGTTCATGCGGGCGTCCAGTGGCATGATCACGGCTACTACAGCCTCTCGACCCTCTGGCTTCACGTGATCTTTCCGCCCTCAGCCTTCCAAGTAACAGAAACTATAGGCATGCCATCCTCTCTCCTCGACCTCCCAAAGTGATGGGATTACAGGTGTGAGCCACTGCACCCAGCTGATATTTTTGTAGAGACAAGGTCTCTCTATGTTGCCCAGGCAGGTCTTAAACCCCTGGGCTCAAGCAGTTCTCCAGCTTCTGCCTCCCAAAGTGTTGGGATTACAGGCGTGAGCCACTGTGCCCGGCCATTCCTTTTTATTGTTGAATAATACGCCATTGCATTGATATCCTATTCCAGGACCCAGCGTGGCCTATCATTCCATACTGTATCTACTCACCAGTTGATGCACATTTGGGCTGTTTCCACTTCTTAGCTATTATGACTAATGCTGCAATGAACACACATATATATGGGTTTTTGTGTGGATGTATTATCATTTCTGTTCAGTGTATACCTAGAAGTAGAATTGCTGGGTTATTGGTTGGGCACGTTGGCTCACGCCTATAATCCCAGCACTTTGGGAGGCCAAGGTAAGAGGATTGCCTGTGCTTGCAGGTTCATGACCAGCCTGAGCAACTTGGTGAGACCTCATCTCTATAATAAATCAAAAATTAGCCAGGCATGGTGGCGCGTGCCTGTAGTTCCAGTTCCCTGGGAGGCTGAGGCAGAAGGATCACCTGAGCCCAGCAGGTCAAAGCTGCGGTGGCTATGAGTGTGCCACTGCACTCCAGCCTGGGTGACAAAGTGAGACTCGTACTCAAAAAAAAAAAGGGAAAAAAAAGAATTGCTGGATTATATAGAAATCAAGGCTTTAACTTTTTGAAAAACTGCCAAACTGTTTTCCATAGCAGCTGCACCATTTTAAATGATTATAGGCGATATACGAGGTTTCCTATTTATCTACATCCTTGCCAACACTTGTTTCTGTCTGATTTTATTCGTTCTAGGAATATGAAATTGTATCTCATTGGGGTTTTGATTTTCATTTTCCTGGTGACTAATGATCTTGAGCATCTTTTCATGTACTTATTGGCCATTTATAGATTCTCTTTGGAGAAATGTCTATTCATATTCTTTGCCCATTTTAAATTGGGTTATTTGCCTTTTTAGTGTTTAACTGAAAGTTCTTTATTTATTTCTAAATTTTTGTAGAGATGGGATCTCACTCTTTCTCCAAAGCTGAAGTGCAGTGGCATGCCAGAACTGTTTAGATTTTTGGGGGGTGGGGGTGGGTAGAGCCCAGGGTGATTTTGAACTCCTGGCCTGAAGTGATCCCACCTAGGCCTCCCAAAGTGCTGGGATTGCAGGCATGAGACACCATGTCCAGCCTTTTATTTTTTATTTTTTGAGTTGGAGTCTCACTCTGTCACCCAGACTGGAGTGCAATGGCCGCTCCCGGCCACCGCAGCCTCGACCTGCTGGGCTCCGGCGATCCTTCCACCTCAGCCTCCCAAGTAACTGGAACTACAGGCGCGCGCCACCACGCCCGGCTCATTTTGATTTATTGTAGAGATGTCTCAGCAAGTTGCCCAGGCGGGTCTCTAACCCACGGGCTCAGGCAACCACTCACCTCAGCCTCCCAAAGGCGCGGGATTACAGGCTGAGCCACCGAGCCCAGCTTAGCCTTTTTTTTTTTTTATAACCATGGTTTACTTTGGTCGTTTGAAATCATTCATAGCATTTTTTAATGGATTCGGGATTATAGGAACATAGTTGTACATGGTCAAAGACTAAAGTTATTGTGCAAAAAATAAATTAAATTAAATTAAACCTCCCCCACCAAAACTAGCTATTAGAATGATGAATGTGAGGTGTCAAGAAAGGGCTCCTCAAGAAAGTATGATCTAAGCTGAGACGAGAAGGTGGAGAAGGGGCAAGCTGGGTTGAGAAAGGAGCAAGAAGAGTGTTTATCACAGAGGAATTATTTGAGCCCCTGGGCAGAGAGGGGGTCATTAAAATAATCAAAACTAGGATCACGGGAGCCCAGCAGGTCGACGCTGGAGTGGCCGTGAGTGTGCCACTGCACTTCAGTCTGGGTGACAGAGTGAGACTCCTACTCCAAAAAAAAAAAGAATCAAAACTTGCTTTAAGCTGTCAGGTTGGAGAATGAAAGCGGGAGAAAAGCGAGGACAAGAGGCTGGGGGAGGGAGAAGGGGGCGGGTCATGAAAGTCCTAGGCGGCTATGTCAAGGGCTGTAAACAGGAGGATGCCCTGGTCAGATTTTTTATTTGGGAAGATCACTCTGGGACTCTGGAGGGAACGAGGGGCAGGAGCAGGGAGTTCTGATGGTAAACTGTTGCAGAAATCCAGGGAAGTGATGGTGGACAGAAGTCGAGTACTCCCGGGGAGGAGAGGGATTGAGAGCTCCTTAAGAGACCCGGTGATTGGCCGAGGAGCTGAGGGAGATGCAGGGGCCAAAGCCCACTCCCGGTCTCCCCTCGGCAAGCTCGGTTGCCCGGTGGCCCGTTCACTAGGTGGAGGTGTGGGAGCACGTTCTGGGGGAGGCGATGACCGCGCCTGGACGCGTGGAGTGTGACCCACCCGCGGAGACCCCAAGAGATGCCCAGCAGGGCGCTACTGGACGGAAGGGGCTGGCGCGCAGAGACGGTGCAGCACCCATCTCTTTTTTAGGCCGGAGTCTCACGGTCGCCCAGGCTGGGGTGCAGTGACGCGACCACGGCTCACCGCAGCCTCGACCTCCAGGGCTCGGGCGAGCCTCCCGCGTCAGCCTCCCTCTTGGGCGCCTGGCGGGAACCGAGCCCGGGGTCACACGAGCGGGCCCCTCGGAGGCCAGAGAGAGCCCAGCAGGACGCGGGCTCCGGCCGCGTAGAGGAGCCGCCCGCGGGCGTCCGGAACCTTCCGCCGCCGCCGCCCGCGTTCGCCGCGGGACTCGGCGGGGGGAACCGGTTAGCTGTTGCTAAGGGGCGGCCCCGGAAGTGACGCGCCCCGGGTTTGTTGACAGCGGAGGCGGCGGCGGCTGCAGGCTCCGAGCCGTAGGAGCCGGATCG